TAGCCAATGTCTAACCTAATTCAGTGTGTCATACATCAGATTTCTAATCTTAGCTCCAAACACTTATGTAGCGATGTCTGGATCAATTCAAGTTGAAAGGAATTTGGCCAACAGTTTGCGTCAATACAGACAGACGTACTTGTGACTATTGGAGTTTCTATTGTTATGTCAATACAGACAGACGTACTTATGACTATTGGAGTTTCTAATATTATGTCAATACAGACAGACGTACTTATGACTATTGGGGTTTCTATTGTTATGTCAATACAGACAGACGCACTTATGACTATTGGAGTTTCTATTGTTATGTCACTACAGACTGACGTACTTATGACTATTGGAGTTTCTATTGTTATGTCAATACAGACAGACACACTTCTGACTATTGGAGTTTCTATTGTTATGTCAATACAGACAGACGCACTTGTGACTATTGGAGTTTCTATTGTTATGTCAATACAGACTGACGTACTTATGACTATTGGAGGTTCTATTGTTATGTCAATACAGAAAGACGCACTTATGACTATTGGAGTTTCTATTGTTATGTCAATACAGACAGACGTAATTGTGACTATTGGAGTTTCTATTGTTATGTCAATACAGACAAACGTACTTATGACTATTGGAGTTTCTATTGTTATGTCAATACAGACAGACGCACTTATGACTATTGGAGTTTCTATTGTTATGTCACTACAGACTGACGTACTTATGACTATTGGAGTTTCTATTGTTATGTCAATACAGACAGACGTACTTGTGACTATTGGAGTTTCTATTGTTATGTCAATACAGACAGACGTACTTATGACTATTGGAGTTTCTATTGTTATGTCAATACAGACAGACGCACTTATGACTATTGGAGTTTCTATTGTTATGTCACTACAGACTGACGTACTTATGACTATTGGAGTTTCTATTGTTATGTCAATACAGACAGACGTACTTATGACTATTGGAGTTTCTATTGTTATGTCAATACAGACTGACGCACTTATGACTATTGGAGTTTCTATTGTTATGTCAATACAGACAGACGTACTTATGACTATTGGAGTTTCTATTGTTATGTCAATACAGACAGACGTACTTATGACTATTGGAGTTTCTATTGTTATGTCACTACAGACTGACGTACTTATGACTGTTGGAGTTTCTATTGTTATGTCAATACAGACAGACGCACTTATGACTGTTGGAGTTTCTATTGTTATGTCAATACAGACAGACGCACTTATGACTATTGGAGTTTCTATTGTTATGTCACTACAGACTGACGTACTTATGACTATTGGAGTTTCTATTGTTATGTCAATACAGACAGACGTACTTATGACTGTTGGAGTTTCTAGTGTTATGTCAATACAGACAGACGCACTTATGACTATTGGAGTTTCTATTGTTATGTCAATACAGACAGACGTACTTATGACTATTGGAGTTTCTATTCTTATGTCAATACAGACATATTTAATTATAGGACTGTGACTATTTTTTTTTATTGTTACTTCAAAAAAGACAGCTGTACTCTTGACTGTTGTAATTTTTACGTCAAATGGGTCAGCTGTACCTATAATTTTTTATTTAAAAAAAAATGTTTTTACAAATTGAAAAAGCATAGAACATTAGAAATTTGAAGACGGTTAAAAAAAAAAGTTCTGTAAGCGGGAAGACCTGAATGACACAGCGGGATGACTTGTCCTTCAGATTAGACGAGACAGTCAGTCAGCCATTTTTAGTACAGGTCAAAGATTGTGTATAAAGGGGCAGAAAATAGTGGCCGACCACGCGATAAGATTTTAAATATGTCATTGAAAATTTGACTTTGACTTAAAATGAAAAGTCTATCTTTAAGTTCTAGCTTTAAGTTCTTTCTTTAAGTTCTATTTACCACTGACAAAATAATGTGTGATATTATTTCCCTCTAAACGATAAGATTCCCCCCCCCCTTTTTTTTTTGTGGTAAAATTGTATGTGCTATTCAGAAATACTATATTAAATATGTCATTGAAAATTTGAATTTGACTTAAAATGAAAAGTCTATCTTTAAGTTCTAACTTTAAGTTCTTTTTTTAAGTTTTATTTACCAATGACAAAATACTGTGTGATATTATTTCCCTCTAAACGATAAGATTCCCCCCCCCCTTTTTTTTTTGTGGTAAAATTGTATGTGCTATTCAGAAATACTATTCATCAAAATTAGCAAAAAAAAATGCAGTTTATACATGAAGTATTATATAATTTGTCAAATGATGTATTTCTTCTTGGCATCGAGAATATTAAGTTGCACAGTCAAGTAGAGCTTGAATGTAATTTCAAGTTGAGGATGGCAATATAACTAAAGCGTTGTTCGTGAAGACACCAAGAACAAAAATATCGATGCAGAAAAGAGTTTTTTTTTAAATGTTTTAATTAACTATTTTTGACAAGTGCTTGTCACGTTTTGATTTGAAATGGACGGCCAGTCAGTGTAATGTGGTGCAACATTTGAAATAGACGGCCAGTCAGTGTAATGTGGTGCAACATTTGAAATAGACGGCCAGTCAGTGTAATGTGGTGCAACATTTGAAATAGACGGCCAGTCAGTGTAATGTGGTGCAACATTTGAAATAGACGGCCAGTCAGTGTAATGTGGTGCAACATTTGAAATAGACGGCCAGTCAGTGTAATGTGGTGCAACATTTGAAATAGACGGCCAGTCAGTGTAATGTGGTGCAACATTTGAAATAGACGGCCAGTCAGTGTAATGTGGTGCAACATTTGAAATAGACGGCCAGTCAGTGTAATGTGGTGCAACATTTGAAATAGACGGCCAGTCAGTGTAATGTGGTGCAACATTTGAAATAGACGGCCAGTCAGTGTAATGTGGTGCAACATTTGAAATAGACGGCCAGTCAGTGTAATGTGGTGCAACATTTGAAATAGACGGCCAGTCAGTGTAATGTGGTGCAACATTTGAAATAGACGGCCAGNGTAGCTGCCCGATAAAGAAAGTTCCTCTTTTCACTCCCCCCCCCCCGCCCCACACGCACACACCTTTATCTCCAACAACTCTTTGAGAAAAAGACTAAAGAATTTTCCCACTGCAGTGAGTCTAAAATGTATTTATCTGATCCCTTGAGTTGTACGCTTCATTAGATTCCGAAATAAGACAGGCTTTTATACAATTTTGATTACATTATTGAAATATTATGAGCTCTAAAAATGTTAACGTGTCTTTCGCTGGGTGGCCGAGTGGTCTAAATTGAGTCCATCCAAAGAGCTGGCGGTCTGGAGTTCAATCCGCATTAAAACGTAGACAAGCAAAAACTCCCCTCCCCCAAGCACCCCGGGTGGACATGGGGCGCGTTAACCTTGGACAGGAATAGATCTAAGAGTAAGAGAAGGAATAACTCTGAATTCAGAGGCGTAGGCGATAACATGGACACAATTAATATCTGTGCCGCTCCTGAGACGCCACTGGTGCCAAGTTGTGTCATCCACATTTGATGTTCTCTTTGGGTTGTCCGGGGGCGTGGAGAAGGGCCTTGTGAGGTCAACACATTATCGTCATATTGTGACGGACGGATGTCAGAGAATAGAGGCAGCGGCGAAATTATTACCATTAGAATAGAGGCAATGGTGGCATTATTACATTAGAATAGAGGCAATGGCGGCATTATTACATTAGAATAGAGGCAATGGCGGCATTATTACATTAGAATAGAGGCAATGGTTGCTTCCTAAATTTTCAGGAACCGGTTCTGTAAGCGCAGTTAAACTTAATGACTTGAATTACATTAGTTTTGGGGAGAATTCAGCAAATGGTTTGCCAAGATTTTATCATTTTAAGAACCGGTTCGGGCGAACTGGGTCGAATGGTAGGATGCCCTCTCTGGACAGAGGCTTTTGTTTTTCATAGTAAGGATCAGTGCTTATAGCGAAAGGTGGGCCGGTTCTCAAACCGTGTTAACATTTTAGGGGTTCTCCAATATGAAGTCACACTGTGGGAGTTTGGAGGGATTTTATGACGAATTATATGAGGGTGTCCAAATTGTGCGACAAATTTGTTAGGGGTCCGAAATCGTCCAAAATAGCATGACGTAATTATGGGTGGCCTCCCCTCGTCTAATTTAAAAATATTTACACACGATCACAGGTCATATTTATACACGATCACAGGTCATATTTGTACACGATCACAGGTCATATTTATAGACGATCACAGGTCATATTTATATACGATCACAGGTCATATTTATACACGATCACAGGTCATATTTATACACGATCACAGGTCATATTTATACACGATCACAGGTCATATTTATACACGATCACAGGTCATATTAATACACGATCAAAGGTCATATTTATACACGATCACAGGTCATATTTATACACGATCACAGGTCATATTCATATACGATCACAGGTCATATTTATACACGATCACAGGTCATATTTATACACGATCACAGGTCATATTTATACACGATCACAGGTCATATTTATATACGATCACAGGTCATATTTATACACGATCACAGGTCATATTTATACACGATCACAGGTCATATTTATACACGATCACATGTCATATTCATATACGATCACAGGTCATATTTATATACGATCACAGGTCATATTTATACACGATCACAGGTCATATTTATACACGATCACAGGTCATTGAAGTGTGCAGCTTGGCTCTGCTTCTCGAGATCTGCATCACAAATATCAAAAGGCGTGTGTTTATTTGTGTGTGTGTGTGTTCTGTCGTTATGACTGCTAATTTACTGGCCTTTCATTAGCAGGACAAAGGGGGACCGGGGGGGGGGGCGGGGAGAAGCAATTAGTCACGTGATTTCCGGGATTCTGTTAGTTGACAGGACTTTTTCAATATTCAACGACAGTTTTAGAACCGCAGTAATAGTACTAAAAGTGCAACATCAAAATCTAAGATTTTTTTTTTTTTTTGAAATAAAAGAAAATCAAGGATGTCGGGTGATGGTGTATCAAATTGTTGACAGTGCAGATATTGTTGGACGTGGGTTTCACAATTGTTGGACGTGGGTTTCACAATTGTTGGACGTGGGTTTCACAATTGTTGGACGCATAGAGACTTTCGAAAACAAGTCGTGCAAACTTAACTGAAATTTCGTTGTTTTGTTAAAATTGTATCTATAATTGATCAAACTCAGTTAATTAGAAAGAGCTGTTGTTGATGGAGTATTTGAGTCGTGCACAATAAAATGTGAGTTTTTATTGGATTCAATTATTTTTTTTTACAACAAGAAATATTAAAATGAGAACTTAAATTACTTACTTTAGAAAACTCTATCTTATAAGCTTATTTCAATAATATTATTTGTCATCCTTTTTTCTGATTACTGTCATTTTCTTGGAATGCGTGCAGTAAACAAAATGTATAGAAATTAGAATTAAATCTTTGTTTACCTTTGATTAATAATCTATTCTATAATGCAACTTTAATATTAATTAAACAACTCCTAGAAACATCGATTTTCATATAAATCCTTTATAAAATTTAATTTCGTGCAATACTGAGTGGGTCTAAAAATTTGACAAAACATGCATACAAGAAACGCCCTTATAAGAATCCAAATTAGTTCCCCCCAGGGCTCCCCACCCCAAATTTCTTCACCCCCCCCCCCCCAGGGCTATATTTAATATTCCAATGAAACATCCGCATTGGCACCGCAGATTTATTTCACCAACTATCTCAGAAAAAAATAAAGAAAAGATTACGCGCCAAACGCACTTTCAATTATTTAGTCAGAGACTTATAAAAACAGCATATGCCGTCTATAGACCATAGAAATTAAATTAATATTACTTTCTTCTCTCCTTTTCTGTATCCCAATGTTATTTTTATTTTTTGAAAGAAACAATTCCAAGAGACGGGATGGCCGCAGCGTTGGCGTGCCTGTCTTTCGCAGTGCTGTTTGTGGCAGGCGTGCCGCGGGCCGATGCTGCGACGTACGCCGGCGTCGACCTGGACGGGAATCTTCAGGACGGCGACAAGGACTTCTTGTTCGACTCGTTTCCCGACGGCTTCGTGTGGGCGGCGGCCACGGCTTCCTACCAGGTGGAAGGGGCGTGGAACGAGGACGGTAGGTCATACGAGGGCCGTTCTAAGCAGGATCAGCCCGTTTGTAGTCAGATGGGCATACGTTGTTGTTTTTTTTAACAAGAAGATGATCTTTTGGAGATAGTCCCACCATGAGAAGGGTGTGGCACTTTGGGGGATACTCGCACTTTTAGAAGGGCCTTGCACTTTTTGAGATACTCGCACTTTTAGAAGGGCCTTGCACTTTTTGAGATACTCGCACTTTGAAAAGGGCGTTGCAGTCTTAGAGGCATGTATAATTTTTGGAGTGCCTTAAACACGTCAAAGGTAATGATGCGTCCATCAACAGGTACACATACATAGAACGTTTCCCACTCTATTCCCTCACACAAGCTAGAGCCTTTGTTGACCCGTGTGTGGAAATGACTTGGTCATACTCTTGTGCGTGCGGTAATCAGCTGTAGCGGAGTCGTCCGTAGGACGGTACAATATTGGGTTTCAATGAGACAGCTGATTTTAAGTAGGATGGTACATTATTGGGTATACTACGACGGTACATTATTGGGTATACTACGACGGTACAGTATAATGTTTGAATGAAAAAGCTGTCGTCAGTATTTCGGTACAGTAGACGGTACAGTTGGACGGTACAGTAGACGGTACAGTTGGACGGTACACTAGACGGTGCAGTATAATGTTTGAATGAGGTAGACGTTGTCAAAAGGACGGTACAATATAATGTTTGAATGATACAGCTGTTGTCAATAGTTCGGTACAGTATAATTTTTGAATAAGACAGCTGTTGTCAGTATTTCGGTACAGTAGACGGTACAGTATAATGTTTGAATGAGATAGCTATTGTCAGGTGGTAAACCTATGAACAGTTTGCAATGCAAACATTTCAGCACCTGTATACTTTATTTTATTTTCATACATTTTGATTGACAGGTAAAGGTCCAAGTATCTGGGACATCTTCACCAGTGAACCAGGTCGTGTTGACAACAACGAGAATGGTCAGGTGGCGTGCGACAGCTACCACAAGTACAATGAAGATGTTCAGCTCCTGAAACAGCTGGGCGTAAGTTACATTGTGCTGTAGACCAGTGATTCCTAAACGTTTAAAGTTTGGTCGGATGTGTCGATAAGGTTCTCATTGCGACTAAATGTTTTAATCACTTGTACCATTTTATTTGACCTTAACTATGCCATAAACTATTATTTGACTTGCAATCATCCATCTGAGAGTTCTCTAATAACCATTGCCATTCAATGCGAGAATACCCTACCAACAAGTTCCACTCAATGCGAGAGTACTCTTATAACTCTTTCCATTTAATGCTTGTCATCCTTTTTTTGTTATGCATGTCTAATTTTATTTAACTTTTATCCAACGGCGTAGCTAGGGTTGATGCCGCCCCGGGAGGGCCAAGAATTTTGCAACCCCCTTCCACAAAAACAAAAAACCAACCCCCCCCCCCCCATAAAAAAAATCCTCTGTGGTGGCCAAAGATACCGCCGGAGTATATTTATTTTCGTCCCCCCCCTTCCGCCCCCCCCCTTTACACACGCCTCTGCTTTTATCAAGTTTCCTGTCTCGTGTTGTGCGGACCGGCAACGTAAGACTCATGGACCGGTAACGGTCCACGGACCACGCTTGTGGGGGAAACACAGTGTCTAACTAATAGAACACATGGCTCGTGCCGTGATGTCTACGTGTGATGTCCCTCCAATATTATTGACCCGGTCTGGTTCGGGATATAAGAAATAAGACAAGCGATGTCTAAGCATCGTGTAATTTAAGGCAAAAACTACATCCCTGTTCTAGGTGACCCACTACAGATTCTCGATTGCCTGGACAAGGCTGTTACCTGATGGCACGAACAAGACCGTCAACAGGGCTGGAATCGATTACTATCACAGGTAAATTGTAGGCATAAATGTCTCCTAGGAAAAAATAACTTACACGTTTTGTCTATGTATTATTAACTTTCAGAGATAAAATTAGCAAATTTAAATTTTAATGGATTTGATGACTGTGAAGATATCGATTATATTGCAGGCTAATCGCTGAGCTCAAGGCCAACGGAATAGAACCGATGGTGACGATCTACCACTGGGACCTGCCTCAGGCTCTTGAGGTGAAGGGCGGATGGCTGAACGGGGACACAGTTGGACACTTCAGAAACTTTGCTGACCTTTGCTTCAAAGAGTATGGACGAGATGTAAGCTTCACACGTCGGCCAGTTTTCAGACTTTCGTTTCGACCAGATACCTGATATAATGTTGTTTTTTATTATTGGCCTTTACATTTCCAAGTCATACCCCGTGGAAGAAACGGTCACACTTTTAGAGGGATTAAGTGTTGCCCCTATAGCGAAACAGGAAGTAAGGAGGGGGAGGGAGGGGGGGAGGGAGGGAGAGAAACAGCTGTCTTTTAATATCTTTTTCAATAAAGTGCCGATGTCTCATCATCTGTGTCGATCGCCTGGCACGGAAACTCGAACTCATTAATTGCACACTTGTTAGTTCTTGTCATGTTCTCTAATATGGGCTCACTTTCCGGAAGGACTTACGCCTCTTGGAACACGGGAATTAGTTTTAATAGCACTGTGTATCCAGATAGTGGCGATTATGTAAATGAAATGATAAGATACACATTTAGACGGAAAGCATACTTTATAACGCAACATATACATTTTAGCATATGTGTACAGAGGATTAATTTATTTAATTAACATTTCCCAATTTCCCTTCTGCTGCAGGTCACATACTGGATTACACTTAATGAACCGTGGGTGGTGTCCGTCTATGGGTATGGTTACGACCAGATGGCCCCTGGTCGGTGGGGGCCCGGGACGAACAGTTACATCGTGGCCCACCATCTGATTAAAGCTCATGTTGCGGCATATCACCTGTACAACGACACATACAGGGGCCAGAGCCCAGGAGGCAAGGGTAGGTAATACATGCAAGGGCTATAGTCCAGAAGGCAAGAGTAGGTAATACATACAAGGGGCCAGGGTCCGGGAGGAATGGGTAGGTAATACATACAGGGGCCAGAGTCCAGGAGGCAAGAGTAGGTAATACATACAAGTGGTCAGAGTCCAGGAGGCAAGGGTAGGTAATACATACAGGGGCCAGAGTCCAGGAGGCAAGGGTAGGTAATACATACAGGGGCCAGAGTCCAGAAGGCAAGGGTAGGTAATACGTACATAGGCCTGAATCCAGGAGGCAAGGATGGGTAATACATACATGGGCCAGAACCTAGGGGGCAAGGGTTGGTAATGCATACAGATTCCAGGCGGCAAGAGTATGTAATACATACTAGTGCCCAATCCAGGTGGCTAGGGTGGGTAATACATACGGGGGCCAAAATCCGGAGGCAAGGGTAAGTAATACGCTCAGGGGCAACAATCCATGAGGCAATGGTACGTATTACATACAGAGGCCAGAATCCAGGAGTCAAGGGTACGAAATACGTACAGAAGCCTGAGTCAAGTATGCTAGGGTAGGTAATATATACAAGGGCATGAGTCCAGTGTGCAATTGTAGGTAATACATACATCAGGGTAATGGTAGCTTTTTTAAAATCATTTTCATTATAAAACATTTTTTAATGTTTGTGTGTTTCTTTTTTTAAAAGCCCCACTTTATTGAATAAAGACAATAGGGCTTGTCATTTAATTGCGGAAATCTATTAATAGAACTGATGTCATTATTACTCGTCAGCCGGGTACTCAGCGCGGACAAAATGTCAACACTGTTCAGTATTACTATGTTAGCGAAGTGTCCCTGAAACTTGTTTACAACTCTATTTTACGAAATATTTTAGATATATATTTTTTTTTACTTCCATTTTCTGAAATGGGACTTCATTGCGCGAACGGCAAACGTAACAGTAACTCTAGATACAAGGATCGTCCGAACGATATGCTGAAACACACTATAAGCTGCCATGTTTTAAGCAATATTTGTCCGCTGACCTTCTAAAAATAGTACCCTATGACGTTTTCCGGTCTAAGAAATGACAAAGCCTATTGCTGCTTTTGTCTTAAACTACACATAACTGTGTTGTTGTTGCTCCCACAGGCCAGATTGGGGTCACATTAGTGTTGAACAATGACACGCCCAAGAACCGTTCGAATCCCGAGGACATCGAGGCGTCTGAGAGGGGCAGACAATTCATCTTTGGATGGTTTGCCAATCCTATCGTTCTGACAGGTAACTTGGGGTTCAATGTTAAACGTGTTAACAAATATTAGATTTTAACCATGTAATACAAAATGCTTCAGCTACGACCAATTAAGGCGTCTAAAGAAAATATAATAAGTTCGATTATTTAAACTATTCTAAGCTCTTTATCTGTGATAATACATTAATATAGTCGGGTACTTGTCTGAGGGTATGAGAATCACTGTTGTTAGTATGAACGATGTTTGAGTCCGTGAGTTGTCTTTCTGTTATTCTGAATGATCATTGGATGACAGGAATTGAATAATAAACTAGTGTGGGGGTATAGGGCGTGAGATAGAGAGAGTGGAAGGAGAGGTAGAGAGAGTGGAAGAGAGAGAGAGAGAGAGAGAGTTGACAAAGGACATGGTCATGATAAATTAGTGAGTGGTACCTCCTGTGTTGTTGTTTTGTATAGACTGTGTAGTTATACGGAGATACTGCAACCAGGTGAAACTGAGTGACGGATACACGTCATGAAGAAGAACCCTAGTCATTCATAAAGTGTTTGCGTTCCAATATTCTGTGTACCTGGGCATTTGTTGATAGACATTGTTGTAGATTACCTGGGTATTCGCTGATAGACAGTGTTGCAGAGTTCCTGGGTATTCGTGGGTAGAGAGTGTTGTAGAGTACCTTGATATTAGCGGATAGACAGTGTTGCGGAGTACCTGGGTATTCGCGGATAGACAGTGTTGCAGAGTACCTGGGTATTCGCTGATATACAGTGTTGTAGAGTACCATCGCAAACGTTGCCAGAAAATACTCAAAGATGCTTGACTAGGGTTATAGAGTATTTTAACAGCGTTGCCGAAATCTCAATTCATGTAAAGTTATATCTGCTTAAATCAAAGCAAGCTATTTCTTGAGTGCCAGTGTTAGCGCAAACTCTAGGGGCAATCATTAAATCAAAGTAAGCTATTGTTTGAGTGTGTCAGCGTTAGCACAAACTATAGGGGCAATCATTAACTCAAAGTAAGCTACTGTTTGAGTGTGTCAGCGTTAGCACAAACTATACGCAATCATTAACTCAAAGTAAGCTATTGTTTGAGTGTGTCAGCGTTAGCACAAACCATACGCAATCATTAACTCAAAGTAAGCTATTGTTTGAGTGTGTCAGTGCCAGCACAAACTGTAGGCAATCAATCAACTACCTTATTACAGTCATGGAGCGTTAGTGGAGGAGAGGGAAGGGGGGAGAGAGTGAAAAGTGAGCCCCGCTAAAACAAAATATAACACTTTTCTGAGTGAGATTTCATAGTTTTAGTGAGACTGGTGAAGACAGTGATGCCCTCCCCTCATATTTCATTGTGACACTTGTAAAAAGCGTCATGTATTTACTGAAACACTTGTCTACAGGAGACTACCCCGAAGTTATGAAATCAAAGATCTTAGAAAAGAGTCTGAAACTCGGACAGACTTCTCGTCTCCCTTCGTTCACGCCACAAGAAATCCTTCAAAATAAAGGTAGAGGATCAATTTTAAAAAAAAAGAAAAATAAATAAAATACACTAACACAACTTAAAACCTGTTAACGTTATCTCATAGTAAAATATCTCGCGAAAAAAGTCTAAATGTTTTCTTAAAGCACTAAACAATTCACATGTTATTAAATAATCATTTTTTAACATTTTTCTGTTGGTTCGATTTTTCAACTTGATTTATGTTTCAGCTTTGTTTGATATTTTTAATGTATTCGTTATTGCTATGAAAATGTGATGTTTTTTTTTTTAAAGGGGGTGTGGGGGAGGGGGTGGTGTAGTTTTATTATAATCTGTGATGTTTATACGTTAGATAAGCTCCAAAAAATAATTTATAAATTGTTTCATACATGTTTTTGATATGCGATAATAAGACATGGACCAAGTGCTGCTATGTAAGGGAGATAAGAACACTAAGTTGTTAAGTACAGCAGTGGTCTCGCTTGAATTTAGCGTGGTGATTTTATTGGTTGTACAAATCGTAATGTTATAAGACAATTAAAGGCTTTGGAATAAGACAATGTTTTATTTTTGTTTTATTTTGGAGGGTAGGGTTGTTTTTTTTTTTGTTTTTTTTTAGGCTTTGGAATAAGACAATGTTTTATTTTTGTTTTATTTTGGAGGGTAGGGTTGTTTTTTTTTTTGTTTTTTTTTGGGGGGGGGGGGGGTGTGGAGTTTTAATGTAATGTTTATATTTATATACAAATAGTTATTAGTGCTTAAATCGTTAAGAAAATTAACAGCTTTTTTGATTATATTTCCCGCTTTAAAGGCACAGCAGACTTCCTGGGACTCAACTACTACACATCTAATTACGCGACTACAGCTGACCTGCCCTTTGACCCACCAGGATATCAGTTCGACATGGACATCGCAAGAGAGACCGACCCTTCCTGGACGGGGTGAGAGGGTTGGAGGAGGGGGGGTTCACATGATTCCATTTCCCTCAAAATGTTTCAGTTTTTGAAATCGTTTGTAAAATACTTTTGTGTGTGTCCAGATTCGAATTAACAGCCGTATCCTTTATTGACATAAACCGGTGATAGATCAATGCACAACGTTTTAAAATCTACATTTGATTAAAGAAATGACACCTTTATTCCTACAAGCAAGCATACAAGAATGTGGCTTTTTGATTTTACATTTTTTTGGGGGTAAAATTGATCTATTTCCATTAGATTTGTCGTATTAAAAAGTTGGGGTGCTGGTGATCTTTAAACTCTATGAATTTACCTATTTTTTTTTCCATTATTTTTTCGATTAGGTCTGGATCATCGTGGCTCTTCAGTGCACCTTTAGGATTCCGTGAGATCCTCAACTGGGTTAAAACCACGTACAACAACATCCCAGTCTACATCACGGAGAATGGTGTCTCCGACAGGAATGGCACTTTGCGAGATGCTTTCAGGATCACGTACTACAGACAGCACATCAATCAGATGTTGAAAGGTGAACGATTATAACATTCTTAAAACATTTTAACTATTAATTTAAAAAAAAAACCCCAAAAAATTTAAATGGAAACTATTTTAGAAAAGATAAATATTCAATTTGATTCGAATCTTAGTGTTTCAGATTTTTTTGTTTCGGCAAACTACTGCTCCAAGGGGGGGCACTTTAAACGGGAAAAATACAATTTGACTAAACAATCATCTGCGGAGGAAATATTTTTAAAAAAATAGGTTTTAAGGTATTTTAAGGAGCGAATGTAATTTTTACAAACACAGCTTGGGTTTCCTTTTAATATTAGAGATTATTTCAAGGTAAGAGTATAATTGTTTTAACGTAGAAAACAAACATTCCAGCGAACTGGAACTTTGAACTTTGAGCTTTGAACTTTGAATTTTTTTTAAAACAAAAATTATCATAGAATGTAAATATATCTAAAACATTTTTCAGCTATCAAACTTGATGGGTGTGATGTCAGGGGTTACGTCGCCTGGTCCCTGATGGACAACTTTGAGTGGGCGAGAGGATTTTCAGAAAGGTTTGGGTTTTATCACGTGGAATTCAACGGCCCAAATAGAACCAGGACGCCCAAGGCTTCAGCTCAGTTCTTCTCCAATCTTATTCGGGACAATGGGTTCAAGAAAGGCTATAGGTGAGTAGTTCAGAGGTTATGCTCTTCTATCCTCATTCAAGAGAGGTTAAAGGTGTTAGACAGTAGGTCAAAGTTTGCGTCCATATTTTTTCTTATATGAGAAATTAATCATGTTATTATATTTTATCTTCAATTGTTGACAGCCTAAATGTTTTCAGTGTTTTTTTCTCAGGCAAGTTTCACCGGATAAAAGTGTGTGGGGGGGGGGGGATTTCAAAATTTTGGGAGGCAACTACAAGTGGAGAGATCATAACTATGGGGTGCAGACACGGCCGGGTGCTAAGGGGGTGCGGGGCCTTGGGAGAAATGAATTTTGCGGGGCCGTTGACGTTATATATTCCGCCGATAGGATATCAAGACACTTATAGTCGTACTGGGGGCCTTGCTGGTCACAATGGGACACGACATGACGGATATTTGTTCATTCGCTTAGTTTTAAAAAAAAATCTAATTTTTTCCTAAAACAGTTAATTGCCCTGGCCCAAATTACTCATCGTGGCTCCATTGTTACCAATTTTAAGGTCGTCAAACACAAATAACAAACACGAAGCGGAATGAGCTATTGTACTCTGGACCCAAGCAAAACATAAGCAAAAAATATGACAAACAAAATATACTATGGCAACGCGCGGGGCCCCATCCACTTCACCACCCCCTAACCCCGGCCCTGGGGCAGAGGGTACAGATGCAAACTAGAATCAAACTGGAGGGGGTGCTGAAATTGGGGGGTAAAAGTGAATATTGGTCCCTGGCGCCTCTGTCACTGACGTAGAAAAAACGAAAGGGGGGGGGAGGGAGCTGATGGGTTGGTCTACCCAACTTTTTCTTTATATGTGGGAGTGGAGTTTTAGGACAGATGTGGAATTTATTTCGTGACAGCGCCTTGACCGATATTTTGGACCACCCAGAATCGCCGATCAGTTTTATTTGGAAGTAGGGCGAAAATTAGGACGCCGGTTGCTCTTGAGTGGAAGAGGGGATCTGGAAAGCTCCATGCATAGAAAAAATTACATTTTTTTCATTTTGGAGTACATCTGAATTCAGTATTTCTATTATTCTCGGGGGAGGCATTATGGCGCCCAGTGCCATACATAAACTAAAATCACTCATTTTTTTTTTTTTTTTTTATTACTTAATAGTAACGTTTTAAAATTTTTCATTTAAACTATTTTTTAGTTAAACTGCTTAATAAATAAATAAATAAATAAATAAATTTGCAACAAAAAAGTTTACATTTAAAAAAAATAAAGAATTCTTGCAAAGAAGGTTTCCATCACACAAAAAAAAAAAGCAAACATTTCTAACACAATGTGATATGTTCAATGCGGATAATTTGATTCTTTTTTTTTTTTTTTTTAATAATATTTCCAAGTTCATCAGTCTTATCTGTTTTATCTGTTTTTTAAAAGGGTCTGTAAATTTTTATGGGTTTTCAAAACTGGTCATGGTTTGCANGGTTTTGGGGGGGGGGGGGGAGCGGCGCACTTCAGATTTTTCGTGGCGTGGGGGGGCAGTGCCAGCAGTTCCAGTTGATTTATTGTTGGACATATTTTTGCTCCGGGGGGGGGGGGCACTTCGCTTTTCCTGGGGGTGCACTCCCCCCGCTCCCCCTTTTCGGAGATATAGCTGAAAGAAACCCTGGTTACATATCGTATATGAATGTCATAATTATGTTAAGAAGACATGAGATGTTTATTTGGAATTCCAAATTACTGTAAGTCTCTTCAAATAAAGTGTCTATTTGATATACTTTAAACTATTGATTTTTTAGTGTTTTTTTAAGACTTAAAATTTCCAAAAAATAAATCTATAAAAGACACTAAAACTTGCGAACTATAAGATGTAAAGCTTCGGCTTACAACCAGGAGCGGCCAATTTCAGAACAGTGCAATGTTTTATGACTGTCACAACTTTTTCTCGGATTCCTGCCCTTCCTATCTAACCGAACTTCCTTCTGTCTATTCACCCCTTCGACAGCTTCGCTCCTCTGCAGACACGCGTATTCTGTCCATTCCCAAGACACACACTAAAACATATGGTGGACGATCTTTCTCTTTCTGCGACCCCAACAATGGGATTCTTTGCCGCTACACATCCGCAATATAACCAACCACCCAGGCCTTCAAAACTGCACTCAAAACACTTTAAACTGTACACGCCTGTTTGATTCCCCTCCTCTGACCGATAAATGATCTTGCTGGCTGCCGTCCATGGTTTGCCTTGTAAAAGTCCTGGGGTTCATGCTGTTCTTTATTTCATAATTGTTTTTGATTTTAATGTCATGATTAGGTCTCTTTTGATAATATTTTTATGTACAGCGCGGTGAGCCCAGCCCTAGGCTGGGGTAACGCGCTATAAAACACCACTAATTAATGTTATTTTTATTATTATTATTATTATCGAATAGTGTACGCCTCTAACAAGATTAGCCTTAAATATACGGATCATTAAATATACCGAGCGTCGCGATATTTCATAGGTTCGACTCATTGTAATTTTTTCAAGGCACGCGTTACTCTTCATTTTTTTAATAAAACATTTCTGTATGGTCTTTTTTTTATAAAAATATATTTAAATTTTATTGTTGTATACACGTTTTTGTCCGAGGTTGGTGCGGGGGGGGGGGAGAAGGGTTACTTGACTTGTTCAGGGGGCATTGCACCCCCACCCGAGAGATGCCTGAAAGGTTTAATATAAAAATGGTGTATTTGCATATTTTAAACTAACTAATCAAGGGGGTTAAATGATCAAAATCAATGCCATCATTTTATTGTGTATATTCAAACCATAATTTATGAATTGCTGTGTTTTAATTAAAGTGGAAAAGCTGCTCAGCCCACAGGGATTGTTTATTTGGAAGATGAGTTTGAAGTCCTCTACGACCAATTCCCCGATGATTTCGTCTGGGCGGCGGCTACTGCAGCCTATCAAATAGAAGGGGGTTGGAATGCAGATGGTACGACATCAAAAGTTAAACTTGCGTGCAAATAGATTCAAAATGTTTTACAATGTTAATAAAAAAATCATCACATGAAATAAATACTTCTTATTAACACTTAAACTGTAGAGGGATCAAACGTTTTAAAGCTTGGGTCTTAATTGTAAATGCAGTAAAAAAGACACACTATTTTTAAGCTTGGCTCAGAGTGGATGACAAAAGTAAAAGTGAATTGAAAATCAAATTATCAAAGAGCTTCATGTCAAACATGACTAAACGACACAAACTCCTTCATTTTAATAACAGGAAAAGGTCCTAGCATCTGGGACACCTGGGCTCACAGCCATAAAATCGCTCACAATGAGACAGGTGACGTGGCGTGCGACAGCTACCACAAGTACAAGGAGGATGTCCAGTTGCTCAAAAACCTGAAAGTAATTTATTGACATTATAGGCTTCAGTGTTCGGGTGTCATTGTATGAATCGTCTCAGGTCTTAGTTGGGCGATCTTCAAATTTGAGCAGTTGAGAAATAAACGTGACAATTCAATAATCATCATTTAAAAACAAAATTTAAATTGTTTTAACACTATAAAAAAAACAAAAAACTATTAATGATTTGGACAATGAGATTAAATTCTCTACAATCATCATTAGCAGCAAATTATTTTTAATATAAATGAAAATTGCACTGTTTGTTTTGGGTTTTTTTTCATGTAAGAGACTCCGAATCGATTTTTCAGTATCAGAGTAATAACTTTATTTCCAGATGAACCATTACCGTTTCTCCATCTCTTGGTCACGTGTCATGTCAGATGGAACACCAAACACCGTAAATGAGGCTGGGATACAATATTATAACAACCTCATTGATGAGCTTCTTGCTAATAATATCAAGTAGGTTCAGTTTATGGTTACGAATTTCAATTAACTGTAAATGCTGAATGATTTCCTAAAAAAACTGAAAGCTCGTTGAAAGACATGGAAAATAAAAATAAAAATAAAGTACATGTATTTTTTTTTTTTAAAAATGAGCGAAATGCAGCACAAACACACACAAAAAACGGTAAATGATAATTTAATACATATGAAATGTAAGATTGGACGTAAATAAAATTCGTTTCAAGAATAGAGATCTTGATGAAGAAAAGCTGAGAAAAATTTTCATTTCAGTGTGAACAAAAATTTGAACAAATCTTATTTCTCCATTCTTGACATACATTGACATATAAGAATTTTTTTTTTTAAATTGTTCCTTTGATCTATATTCACCTCTTTTATATCAGACCCATGGTAACGCTGTACCACTGGGACCTGCCCCAAGCCCTAGAAGACAAAGGCGGTTGGCTCAACTCAACCATACAAGACGACTTTTCCGCCTACAGCAGATTGTGCTTCCAGAGATTCGGTGACAGGGTAACTTAAAGATTTTTTTTTTAAAAAATCATCTTACCATGAGTATAATAAACACAAAACATTTTTTTTTAAAAAAATCATCTTACCATGAGTATAATAAACACAAAACATTTTTTCTAGGGGCTGAAATGAATTTAGGTAATTTAGTCATGTAAATAATTAAAGACAATCAAGGACTGGAACAATCTTTCAAAAGTAATGGTTGAAGCGACAACACTAGTTGCCTCAAGCCTTCAAAACCCTAGTGCATGATTCCCTCACAAAGTGGCACTGGAAATCTGTGAAATTTCCTCATCACCACCAGGAACAGAAACATTGCAAATCCCATCTACATGCATAGGAGCCAAAATGATCAATAAATTGATCGTGGGCCCTTAAGATATAGAAGAAGAATAAGAATTATTCATTCAGAAGGAATTAGAACAACATTCGTTTTTTAAATTATTTGTAACTAAATATGTAGGGGCAAACATTTACAATGAACATTATGAATAAACGGATTTGATATTGAAAAAAAAATTAGTATCCTTAAGTGCTGGATTATTAAAAAAAAACACCAAATAATGTGAAACATTAGCTAAAATAAATTCTACATTGTTTTTGTCTTAATATTTTGGTAGGGTTTAGTGCAAGTGTAATTTCCAGGTGGGTATCTTATCCCGAGATCATACCAAAAAAATATCTCTTATTCACATATTAAAGAAATTACCTTCCTAAATGTTCATCTATTTTATGTTGTAAATTATCATAATTTGAAATGTAGGTTATATTGCAATTACTTTAAAAAAAAAAACCCAGTAAATGTAGCAAACAAATTTTAATTCCTAAATAATTGTATCGTTGATGCAATAGTAATAATTAAAATCATCAAAGGATATACATTTTAATTAACTCTTAATACAGTGGTGCCTCGAGATACGAATTTAATTCGTTCCGTCACCTTGCTGGTACGTCAAGTTGCTCGTATCTCGAACGTTTCTCGTATTTCAAAGCACAATTTCGCTAGCTCCGACAGCTCGTATCTAAAAAATCATTTACTTGGAAACAAATTGAATCCTTACATTTTTAAATATTTTTGATTTATTATTGAATTTCTCTAGTAGTTAATAATTCGTTGAGTCCTCTGTCTTTGATTCCTGATTATTGAAATTTATATTTAAAAAAACTATGAATAGCATGATTTGATATTGCTGTGCTATTTTCTAGGTAAAGAAATGGATCACCTTTAACGAGCCTCCCATCGTTACAATACTGGGGTATGGTGACGGAGTTTTGGCCCCTGGTGGCCATGACCAAGCAAGAGGAGCCTACGTCAGTGGCTACAACCTGATCTTGGCACATGCCAAAGCGTACAGGATTTATGAGAAGGAATTTAAGAACACGCAGAAAGGTTTTTTTTTTTTTTTTTTTTTTTTTTTTTTTTTTTTTTTGGAAAATAATTTTTTTTAAATAAAAATTACAGCCATCAAATATATATTTTTTGGAAATTCGATAGATATGACAAGCAAGGGAAGGCATTCAAAGTTATTTCTCCTTGATCCCAAAGGGTTGTCGATATTAATCTTTAACCGTGGTCCCACATTTCATCTGAAAGATAAGGAGATGTCCACTATTATTTTATTTAGAAAAATTAAAGTGAGACTTGGGCTACAGGTTCATGCTACAGGTTTAGGCTACAGGTTAAGGCTACAGGTTTAGGCTACAAGTAACTCTTACGCAAGATTTTAAATCTTTAGTGCAGAGAAAGAATGTAAAAAATTTAAAAAATGAATGCAACAAAAGATATTTTAATGCTATTCTTATATGTTTTTTTATCTTGACACATAATTTTAAAAAAAAACATCAATTTCCTGTAAATTATTTATAGCAGTCATGCCATTTAATCCAGTACAAAATATTAATAAGTATTTAAGTTACCTCACTCATTTATAAAATAGCTAAATAGCTATTTTTTAAATTAAAAACCAACCCTAATCCAACTGTCTTTAGGTGAAGTGGGCATCACCATCAATCAGAACTGGCCAGAGCCGTTAGATCCACTGAATGGTGCAGACGTTGAGGCCTCAGAACGAAGCCTGTACTTCTACGCCGCATGGTTTGGTCACCCGATCTTCGTCAATGGGGATTATTCTGAGGTAACGTCTCTGTTTATAAGGGAATGAACAGAGCAAAGTGGGTGCTGGCTGGACGAGCGGTCTAAACTGACTTAATCCAAATTAGTGGAGCTCAATCCCCACCAAAGCCAACATCCCAAGCACCCCAGATGGATGGGACACGTTAGCCTTGGACGGCAACTCATCTAAGATAAGGCAAATCCTGAAAGTCAAAACAGGAGCCACAATGATAAATAAATTGATCGTGGGCCCCTTAATATGAAAGAGAACAACAATTAATGTTATAACATATTTTTTAAAAAAATAACGACAACAATAAAATATTTTAAAAGAATGTCTTATAAAAATGATTATATATATTAATTGAATGATAAGCTTAAATATATTTATCAATACTTGTTGTGTAATGTTTCTACAGGTGATGAAGCAGAGAGTGGCAGACAGGAGCAAGGCGCAAGGCCTCTCAGAGAGTCGTCTCCCTGCTTTCACTGATGCTGAGAAGCTAATAATTAAAGGTTAGAAATTATTGTATGTAATGCATTACGTTAGAGGGTAGGTCAAACAATAGAATGAATATCTTCAAATATTGTTAATTATTGCCAATTAGTTTAATGCGTATTGTGGGAGTCTTTTCGGTGTGATTATATCTGATGAAAAAAAAATATTTTTATCAACAGAAAGAAGCGAAATACTTCCAATTTATTTTTCCAAAACTTCAAAAGCAATTTTAATAGTTTAATACGAAATTTAACAGGACCATTGTGTTTCTATAACTGAATACTTGTTTAATCTGCATATGATCATGGGAATTGAAAAGTTATCCTAGGCTAACATTACATTTTTGCTGCAACAGCTGATTTTATTCCTAGAAATATTCGTGAGATTTTATTTCAGTCCTAGCCACTGACAAGACATGTCATCTTTTACTCTAGCACAGCAGTTACCACAATGTTTAAAAAAAAAACACTTTTTATAGGTCATAATGTTCTTAATTTTTTTACATTTCATGCCCGTCCCTAGGGTCTGCCGACTTTTTGGGTTCGAATTTCTATTCTGCCAACTATGAGACTGACGACCCCCAGCCCCCATCAAACCCGCCAAGCTACTACAATGACAAGGAAACAAGAGGTGAAAATGACCCAAAGTGGTTAGGGCAAGTATAACTCTTTTCATCAATCTATTTAAGGTAAAACTATTGTAATGATTAAAATGTTAGGTAATAAATACAGTGGAATAAGATGATGTTTAGGCTTAAATTGTGTCCATTTTGGTGTTAATATACTTGCTCAAAATATACTTGTCCCCACCCCTATATTTTTCTTCACTTTTCAAGCCTAAACATATTTTGTTCCACTATTTATTCACGTCCACAGCTTGAACTAACTCCCTCATAATATTATGGTTAAAATTGTATGCCAGAAATTTAAATGAGATTTTTTGTATTAAAGAAGTGTGAAATGGAACAAGTGGGGCAACATGACTTAAAATTTACCTTTAATAAGGTATACAATTTAAAAACTGAATTTATTACTGAATTTATTTCATTCTTTTTTGTACATTTCCGTGGGTTTCATTTTTAAAAAAAATAATAATCTGGCTTGGTTTGAAGCTATGTGTTAAATTAGAATGTTAACATACGTTCTTGTAAATGTTTTTGTTTAATTTTTCACTAATTCCATGCTGCTATTTGTCGATTAGCTAATCTCAAGATAATACCTCAAATATCTTCTTAAAGTTATCTTCTTTTTATCCCCCTTCTCCTCTTTCCGTTGGTTTTTACTGCGTGGGTGACATGGGATTGCCGCATCCATCAGGTATATTTGAATGATTGCAGCATCAATCAGGTATATTTGACTGATTGCCGGATCCATCAGGTATATTTGACTGATTGCAGCATCAATCAGGTATATTTGACTGATTGCAGCATCAATCAGGTATATTTGACTGATTGCAGCATCAATCAGGTATATTTGACTGATTGCTCCATCCATCAGGTATATTTGACTGATTGCCGCATCCATCAGGTATATTTGACTGATTGCCGCATCCATCAGGTATATTTGACTGATTGCAGCAGCCTTCAGTTATATTTGACTGATTGCAACAGCCTTCAGGTATAATTGACTGATTGTGGCAGCCATGAGGTACAGTTGAAAGATTGCCGCAAGGTGTGAAGCCTGCTGTAGGTTGTGGATGTTTAAGGTGTCCTTAACACAGTCAATCTACCGATGGCATGGACTCCTTCTGGCCCTCATACCGGAATGCCTGCAATTGTACTGTGCGTGCCGTTGGAACTCTTGCAATGCTGATTGGTTGACAGGCATTCTGACGATGTTTGACTTAACCAATTAATTTGCTGTTGGGCCATATACTGGCGGAAATGGATGACACCAACCATTTGTCTTATTTCTTGGTTCCGCATATGGTCACTTCTCGTTTTTTACCAGTTGCTCGCCTTAAACATCTTATTACGCAAGGGAATATTTTCTCTCTCGAGACATTTATTCAGTCAGAGCCCAATCTAAACATTGATAATTAAGGGTTGGAAAAAAGATGGCGTTGGAGATCATGGCTTTTGTCTCCGCCTTTGTTCTTCTGTGTTTTAGTAGAAAAGGTGATTCGGTAGGTGACTGCAAATTAAAAGATGATTCGATACCTGACTGCAAATTAAAAGATGATTCGATACCTGACTGCAAATTAAAAAGATGATTCGATACCTGACTGCAAATTAAAAGATGATTCGATACCTGACTGCAAATTAAAAGATGATTCGATACCTGACTGCAAATTAAAAGATGATTCGATACCTGACTGCAAATTAAAAGATGATTCGGTACCTGACTGCAAATTAAAAAGATGATTCGATACCTGACTGCAAATTAAAAAGATGATTCGATAGCTGACTGCAAATTAAAAGATGATTCGATTCCCGCTGCACTCTTGTCTCTAGCTCTCTATCAGATTTTCTTATGATACAGTTGAGTCTGAATTTGAAAAATTAAATTATTCTAATTTTCCCCATTCTTCCATGTACATTCCCAAATGAGAACCGGATCAAATGATGATGTAAATTTTACAGCTTAAAAAAATTGTTCTTCCAGATCCGGATCAAGCTGGCTGGTGGTGACGCCGTTCAGTATCCGTAAGATGATGAACTGGTACAAGAACAACTACAACAACATCCCCATCTACATCACAGAGAATGGCCTGAGTGACAGGAATGGAAGCATCCACGACTGGCACAGAATCCACTACTATCGTCTTTATTTGAGTGAACTCTTGAAAGGTATCTTATGATTTCGCTGGGTAAAAGAAGTTTGTTTTGTTGTTTTTTTCTTTCAAACTGTGGTTAAATCTATACTGTAACAGCTCTATGTCTACAGAAGATGTATTGTTTCACTATTTAGATAGTTAGGGTATGATTTTTGGTCATGTGCTGCGAACATTAAGGATGTAGAGGAGGAAAATAAGTATGGACCAGCCACGATTGTTGAGAGTGTACAATTAGGAATCAAGAAGAGCATGATTAGACAATGATATTAGAAGATATGCTTTAATGTGGGTAACGAATCCATTTTTTTAACGTCACCAGCCATAAAACTGGACGGCTGCAACGTGAAAGGCTACACAGCCTGGTCGCTGATGGACAACCTGGAGTGGGGCAATGCTTATGATGAGAAATTCGGCCTGCACTATGTGAACTTCTCTGACCCTGCCAGACCTCGCACACCAAAAGCATCAGTTCAGTTTTTTAGGACACTTATTTCTGATGGAGGGTAAAATTGGCTTTTTTTAATTTCAAGAACAATTTTATTATCATCATTCACCATCTCATTATGAATTGAGAGAAAATTGGAACTTGTATAAGAAATATATTCAATTATTTTCATGAGATCCATTAGGGATTGCAAAATCTCTTATATATATTTTCCTTGTGGTGCGCCTGCTCACTTTTCACAACCGGCTCTTCCCCTACTCAACATATTTTATATTAATAGTACTCCCTGAAAAAATAAAGCTGTTAAGCAGCGATCGTAATGTCTCGACAGTTGAACCCAGGTAAGAAGGCTCATTTTTTTCGGAGACAACTATTACATTAATCAATAAAGAGTCACACGTATGGTTTAGGACTGTCTGTAGGACTATGTTTTAAATGACGGCAGATATGATGGAAGATTGTCTGTAGGCCTATTGTTTAAATTCCGGCTGGTAGGATGTAAGATTGTCTGTAGGCCTATTGTTCAAAGGCCGGCATGTAGGGTGTACGACTGTCTGCAGGCCTATTTTTTAAAGGCTGGCATATATTATAGAAAATGAGAAGGTAATTTTTTGGACCCACCAGGTATTTTCTCAAAACACCTGTACACGGTGTAAGAACTGTTCCCGGTTAAGCCCTAATGATTAATGTTCAACCAACTGATCTTGATTTTGAAATAAGCTAGATTTGTTAAATACATTTCTTCATGTAAGTTTATTCGTTATTTATTATTTTTTAAAAAGGATTATTTATCCACAGATTCAAACATGGATATACACAGAAAGGTGGATGGGGCACAGCTGTAGAAAATAGCGATGGCTTTCTGTACGCCAAGTTTCCTGAAGATTTTAGTTGGGGAATGGCGACAGCAAGCTATCAGATAGAAGGAGGATGGAATGCAGACGGTATGTCAGGGAGAGGAGACATGTGGCACTGCATTACTTTCTTTCTGTGTCTATTCCATAAGAATTGATATTGAATAACACTCATTGTTATAGATCATTAAGAATAGACACAAATGACGTTATGTCACATATAATTTTTATTTAAACATTTATGACATACATTTTTCAATATGGACACTGAAATTTCCTGACCTATCTTTCATGTTTGTCCTCAATGAATTGCAGGTAAAGGTGAAAGTATCTGGGACAGGTACAGCCACACATCAGGCCTCATACGAAATAATGACACTGGAGATGTGGCATGTGACAGTTACCACAAGATGGATGAGGACATACGAATCATCAAAGATCTTGGCGTGAGTTTATTTACATTTATTTCTCCGGGTCAACAGATAAAAGGTGTGCCCTAAAGTATCTAATCTGATGCAAAGAAAGAAGAGTGTTAAAATATCTAATCTGATGCAAAGAAAGAAGAGTGTTAAAATATCTAATCTGATGCAAAGAAAGAAGAGTGTTAAAATATCTAATCTGATGCAAAGAAAGAAGAGTGTTAAAATATCTAATCTGATGCAAAGAAAGAAGAGTGTTAAAATATCTAATCTGATGCAAAGAAAGAAGAGTGTTAAAATATCTAATCTGATGCAAAGAAAGAAGAGTGTTAAAATATCTAATCTGATGCAAAGAAAGAAGAGTGTTAAAATATCTAATCTGATGCAAAGAAAGAAGAGTGTTAAAATATCTAATCTGATGCAAAGAAAGAAGAGTGTTAAAATATCTAATCTGATGCAAAGAAAGAAGAGTGTTAAAATATCTAATCTGATGCAAAGAAATAAAAGTGTTAAAATATCTTATATAAAACTGTAAAAATATCCAATCTTTTACAAATAAATAAGTGTTAATCATCTAATCTTATACAAAAGTGCTAAATATCTAATCTTATGCAAAGAAACAAAAGTGTTAAAATATATAATCTTATGCAAATAAATAAAAGTGTTAAAATATCTAATCTTATACAAAAGGGTTAAAATATCCAATCTTATACAAAAGTGTTAAAATATCTAATCTTATGCATACAAGCAAAAGTGTTAAAATATCTAATCTGATGCAAAGAAATAAAGTGTTGCAATATCTAAAAATCACAGTTAATGTGGTGTTAATTTTATTAGTAAAATGTTTCTCTTCTAGATGACCCACTATAGGTTCTCTATATCCTGGTCCCGAGTTCTACCGAATGGGACTTTTCCAGCTAATCAAGCAGGCATTGACTTCTACAAGAAATTTATTGATAAACTTGTGGAGATAGGTAACACTCAGTCTTGGCGGTTAAAATTTTCACTTATGAAGGCTGTGCATAAATCTTTCACCTGTGGAATTTTTATTCACGTACCAACTAAAATAACAAGTATTTTTCTTAAACTGTTTCTGTCAGCAGTTTATTTAAGACATAGTACCTTATAGTTTACCTTCTAAATACAATCTTCTTCTTCTTCTTTATTTTGAGGGCCCACGATCAATGAATTGATCATTCATACAATTAAAATGTTCAAAAGTTTATGAAATTAAACATTATGAGGTTGTCTATAATTTTGTACCCTTTCTATCATATTTCATCCCCACAATCTTCTCGCCCAGGTGTACAGCCAATGGTCACCCTGTATCACTGGGACTTGCCACAAGGTCTACAAGACAAGGGGGGCTGGCTGAATCCAGATATTATTGTATGGTTTAGAGACTATGCAGAACTTTGTTTTTCTGAATTTGGCAGCAAGGTGATTATGAAATATGTTGTACCAATTACAGATGATTCTAAGGTTCTTGTGAACGAATGACCAAAAAAAATTTTCCGGCATAATTTTTTAAAATTTGTTTTTTAAATGTGTTATTGGTCGATTGCTTAAAATTCTTCGATTGGAAAGTCCCACATTTCATGAATGAATGCATTTTTTTTTAAAGTTGTCAAATAGCAGTCACTTTTGTGCCAAACATTCTTTCAACAGGTTAAATTGTGGATCACGTTTAATGAACCTTGGGTGTTTACAATCCTTGGTTACGGACGGGGCAGTATGGCACCTGGTATCACGGACTTGAAAAATAATCCGTACAGAGCCACTCATAACGTTATCAGGGCCCATGCGGAGGCGTATCACGTCTACCAGTCGAAATATAAATCAAGCCAACTGGGTATGATGTGAACATTAATCTGTCATAAAATTAACTTATTATTTATTTTATTTTAGTGGTGTCAGGTCAATTAAGTACAATTATTATTTTTAATTTAAATGTTTTTAAAAAAATATTTTAATTAATTTCAAAATAGATTATAATGTATAGGAGTTCTACTATTTACATTATTTCTGCATATATGAGTATATATATTTTTTATTCAGGTAAAGTGGGAATAACGATGAATTGTGATTGGTTCGGACCACGAGATCCCGCCAGCCAGAGTGACATCGACGCCTCGGACAGGAGACTCCAGTTCTGGATGGGCTGGTACGCTCACCCGCTGGCGGTCAACGGCGACTACCCGGACGTCATGAAGGAGTACGTGCTCAACGCCAGTCTCGCAGAGGGTCTGGCGGCGTCGAGACTGCCCGAGTTTTCAGCTCAAGAAATGGAGAGGATAAATGGTTGAGTACAGTTTCTATTTTGAGTGCCGAGGTCATGGGTCAGAGGGACAAAGATGAACCAAAGCAGCAAGCCATTTGTTTATCAAATAATAATGATAATTATTGTTATCAACACATGGCTTTAAGTTCATTGTTTTATAAAATTAGTATGGCCATATTCTCATTTTAAAAATATAACATTTTTTTTTAAAAATTGGTGGTATGTTTGTGGGTGTTTGTGGGCTGTCTGTAGGGTGTCAGTGCATTTTAATGATGCTTCTAAAAACATTAACCAGCGATGAACTAAAAGGTTTTAGAATGTGGTTATATTTAACCTTCAATATGTAACTTTCTATTTGGTTTTGTATTTATTAATAAATAGCACTAACTTTGGGTATTAGCATCCCTAACAAAATATGCATCTTTTGTGACCAAAGCCTGTCCCCTGGTTGACTATAAATCAGCATAGGTGGTGCTGTAAGATATTTATTCGAGCACTGAAACACCAGAGTACCCCCCCCCCCACCTATCCAGACCTTTAATACCTGATAAGAACTTAAATAAACTTTCTTTGACTTGACATTGCTTTGCAGATAGGCTTGTGTTATTTTTGTTTTAAATACAGTATCCATTAATTCAATTAACAGGCACAGTCGACTTCCTTGGTCTCAACCACTACTCCAGCAATGTGGCCTACGAGGGTGTAGAAGATGAGACGGGTTACTTCGGGGACCAAAAAGTTGAAAATTACAAGGACCCGGCTTGGAAAACGTAAATGAAATTAACGTCTTCAGTTAGCTGTTCTTTTCCTTATCTACAGTAAATGTTTAATTTGTGTGTTCATTTTTTGTACCCTTCTTTCATTCTGAGTATTCTTGCGACTCGCGACCATGGGATTCGGTTGTAGTTCTCCGATCAAGTCAACTCTAGTATCTTTTCTTTCTTGATTTCTTCACGGATAAATTACAATGATAACATGGTAGATGCGAGAAGCTTCCCGATCTTCTCAAATCCTGCGGCTCCTGATCCTAAGCTAAAAAATGGTCTCACTTTCACCCTCTGCTGCTCATACTGGTATCTTCACTTAGGCCTATATTAGATCTCCCTGTCTAGACAGCATGCTCATTTCTTTCAATCGTTGGAATTGATTACCATGCTTCAAATTATGTGTTTCTAACTGTCCTGTTTTGAGAGTTCACTACATACATGTCCAGGCCAATTTTGGCATGTAGATAAAAAATAAAATGTGTTTCTATAAACTTAAACAAATTAATCAATATTAATTAATTATCTACTAGTAGGCCTAAGTGCTACAACTATTTCTGTAAAATATGAAATATAACCACTAATCTAATTAAAGAAAAACTGCCTTTGTTTATTTCATAATATGCTGTTTAACAATATGTCACCCACGTCTGCTATTTGTAGCACTTACTGGCCGTACGATTACCTGGACCCGAGTGGAATACGCAAAACTTTGAACTGGATGCGTATGCAGTACGGCGACATCCCCATCTACATCACGGAGAACGGGGCGTATGACAGCAATGGAACATTGGATGACAACTTCAGAGTGCTCTACTATCAAGGCTATATCAACAATGTGTTGAAAGGTGGGGGTTTTCAAATGCTGCTTTACCAATGCAGCACCGTACGTGGATCATGATTGCACGATCAACAACGATGTCTTCAAGATTGGTGTCTTAGAATGCATGATTAATTGATCCTTTGACCTGCAATTTTTTTTTCATGAAATGACGTATTGTCTTGAAACATTGCACGCTATACAAAAAAAATTTATTGACCAATTTTTAATTTTTTACAGCCGTTGTTTTGGACAAGGTCAATGTCAAAGGATACACCTCCTGGTCGCTGCTTGACAACTTTGAATGGTCAAGCGGCTTCTCTGTCAAACTGGGAAGTTACTATGTGGATTTTAATGATCCGAACAGACCGCGGACGCCTAAAGAGTCTGCTAGATATCTCTATGAAGTATACAAGTAAGTGTTACGTACACTCATGATGCCCCTTTGGAAATAATGTAAAATTTAAAAAAAAAATTAATTAAAAAAATTAATTTAGCAGCTAATTATAAAAGTTTTAAACTATGAGAATAAATTTTTTTAGCCTATGAGAAAATGGGAATAATACATGTTTTGGCCTATGAGAATAATACAGGTAACCTTGAAGTAAATATTTACATATCTTTTCAAAGGTTTCCTGCAGTTTGCATTGATTTGATGATTTAGCCATACTTTCTTTCAAGTTTAGAATCCTAAAATAATAGTACAGTACAGAATAAAGAGATGTTGAAGATGGTTGACCTTGAAGAGGAAGATGGTTGACGTGGAAGAGGAAGATGGTTGACGTTGAAGAGGAAGATGGTTGACGTTGAAGAGGAAGATGGTTGACGTTGAAGAGGAAGATGGTTGACGTTGAAGAGGAAGATGGTTGACGTTGAAGAGGAAGATGGTTGACCTTGAAGAGGAAGATGGTTGACGTTGAAGAGGAAGATGGTTGACGTTGAAGAGGAAGATGGTTGACCTTGAAGAGGAAGATGGTTGACCTTGAAGAGGAAGATGGTTGACGTTGAAGAGGAAGATGGTTGACGTTGAAGAGGAAGATGGTTGACGTTGAAGAGGAAGATGGTTGCCCTTCAAGAGGAAGATGGTTGACGTTGAAGAGGAAGATGGTTGACCTTGAAGAGGAAGATGGTTGACCTTGAAGAGGAAGATGGTTGACGTTGAAGAAGTCGGACATTTCCTTCTCTTAATTTTCTGTTAACAATTTAGCTTTTGGTTTTTTTTTTAACCAATGCCAACATTTTATGTTCCCAAACAAGGAACAATGGATTTGTAGAAGGAACCTTGACGGACCCAAAGGTTAGGCAGGGGCTTCCCTATGCGAATGAGGATTACTATGGCGTGTTCCCTGACGGCTTCTCTTTCGGCGTGTCCTCGGTCGGCTTTGACGTCCAGAGTGAAGTTCGTGGTGAAAGTATGTCATTTTTTGGGTTACTTTAAGGTGAAAGATCCATAAGATATACTGTTAACATGTTTGGAGTTTGTCAGTCTACTGAATTTGTGGAAAGGGTCACTCTCTATGGCAAATTAAACACAGGAGGAATAACTAGTTTGATTCAATGAAATATTTAGAAATAGGTAATTGGAGACTAAAAAAGGGGCAGAGAGTATTTAGAAATAGGTAATCAGAGACTAAAAAAGGGGCAGAGATTAGATACAAGTATTGCTTATTTCTTATTATTTATTTGATCAACACACCTGCTCATTAATTTTTGTTGCATAGTATGAACTTTTCATTTTGCATTTACCGCAAATAGCACTGCTTTAAAAAAATCATATCGATTCTTCATCAGACCGTGGAGAAAGTGCTTGGGATCTCGTTTTCAACACGTCGGGGCTGGTGTCATCAGATATTGATGCAGTCACAGTGTTTTCTAGAGACGTTGCCGCTCTGCGCAGCATTAAGGTAACGGTTTGGGTATCACTACGTGCAACCGTAATCAACTTTTGATTCACCAAATGAACTGTTAGATCAGTGGTTCTCAACCTTTATAATAACGCGAACCCTTAATACAGATCCTTGTGTCGTGGCGACCTCCCAGCTACATAAATTATTTTCGTTGCTATTTCATAACTGTAGAGTACATGTGTTTTTAAAATGGTCTTAGGCGACCCCTGAGAAAGGGTGGTGCGACCCCCAAAGGGGTCGTGACCCACAGGTTGAGAACCGCTGTGTTAGATAGTCTTGATCAAAAACAAAACAATGACCTCATTTTAAGTAGGGTAAAACTAGCTAGATAAATCTTGTTGGATAAAGAGTTCAAGTGTGAAAATATTGAAAATTATAGTGATATCTAGATTAATATGATTTAATAGACCCATTTATAGATTCGGAGCAGGATTTTATTTATGCTTCTAGGAATTGTTTTTTGTGTTTATCATTTCAATTGAATTCTAGCACCCACTGGTGAACATTGGAAGAAAATTAAAATACTTGTGTGTGTTTGATTTCGTTAAATTTGATTTTTGGAGCGCTAACTTTTTTGTCCCTTGATAATCTAAAGGCTGACCACTACTACTTTGTGATATCGTGGTCACGTGTCCTGCCCGCCGGCAAGGCGGGTGGGGTGAGTCAGTCTGGCATCAGCTACTACCAGACTTTGATTGACCAGCTGCTGGACGCGGGGATTGTACCAGCGGTTGCCATCAGCCAGTGGGACTATCCCAGCAGTCTTCTGGTAAAACTAACGTTGTTATCTTCATGGTTACGTTTATCTTAGTGCCTTTATGAATTAACCTTTTCCCTCCTCCAAACCACAAGTTCATAATGATGTAATTGAATATAGATTTATTTTTTTGTTTCATTCGTAGGACGTTTTTTTTAAAATAATTAAATTCAGATGAATTTAAGTGTTATCCCCCTCCCCACACTCACACACAAATTTGTTAATCAGTGTGTAGCTCAGTTTTTTTCCAGACTTGTGGCATCTGTGTACCTCTGTCTATAATTTTCCTGATAAAAAAAAATAGTTTTGTTCTTTTTTTTTTATTTGCAGCGCGTTCCCCCATCAAACTCTCCAATTATCCCCAAGGGGTACGCTTACCACACTTTGGGAAACACTGCTCTAGCTGAATCGAACTTTTTTTCATTTTTCTGTCCCCTTTGAATTATCTAAGAGAAAACAAAACCTATGTCAAATCTTTCTTCTTTATAGAACGTGCCTGACAGATCTGCAGAGTCTAATGTTGATGAATTCCTGTTCTTTGCTAGAACATGTTTCCAACATTTTGGAGCAAAGGTAAATGTTTTAAGATAAGCTAAGATAACATTATATATATATATATATATATATATATATATATATATATATATATATATATATATATATATATTAATCCAAATAAATGGAAATTTTTTGTGATAAAATTCTACATATTCATTTTCCAGACATGATAAAATACATATTTTAACAAATACAAAATTTTTACAATTATAACCATTTAAACACAAGACATCTAAAGTATTTCTCTAGCGTAGAAATCAGCCATCAATGAACTCCATCAGTGACAATGAGTTAATTAGTGATCATTTAGATTTTGTAACCCCTGGGGGGAGCACGCTGGTTAATTCGTACAGACTGGGTAACAAAATAATTTTCACACTGTTACAAACCTATTCTTGCTTAATAAGTTCGTTGGCTCGTTGTCTAGGGGGCTTAAATAACATATACTTCACCAACCATTATTGTCATTTTAAATATCTTTATTACATAAATAAGTTACAGCTTCAACTGCCATTTCTCACAACAACCCCAACACACTAACTACTCCACGTCATATCCACTTTCGCGCAATACGTCACTAGATACTACGAATAATAGATAAAACAACTCATATAATCTCAAAGCAACACGCAATCACACCATGCATTCAAGTTCTTATTACACACCATTCATCCCTAACTTTAATGGGAAGAAATCATTGATTGAGCCGCTCTTTGGTATCTGTGATGAAGTTTTGTTTAGTTTTACAATAACATTTCACTTCAAAAAGTTCTTAAAGTCAAGGATGTTTAGGTTGTGTGATATCCCTAGCTTTCTTGATTAGTCTACGTAATCGGTGTTTGGTGTCAGACGATGAACCCTCACACCAGCAGGTCATACTCAAGTTTATTGGGCTTCCATTTGTTGCACTGCAGAATAAGTTAACAACTTGCTTGTTTACTCCACAATTGTACTTTTTTTTTTTTTTTGGATTGAAAAATCTTTGATATAATTATTTTATACAGAATTTGTCCTTTTACATGGCATGTTAACTTATTTTTAATGGTAACGCATAGCTACTTATTTGTCTATACTGTAATTTTTTAATTTTTTTCAATCTGCAATTTTGTGGGTCCCCTTTGAAAATCGACAACCATTTCCTTCATTTTTGAGACATTCAACTGAAGAAGATTTTCCTCGCATTAACTGATAAAGCTTTTAACTAAGTTGCGGCATAAGCCACAGGAGCCAGGTCAATTAATCAGAGCCAAACGCTCACTAAACACTGACTTCACCTATAACAACCAAATAAGCAATCACATCCGGAACAATAGTAAATGCTTCACTGTGCCTCCGTGTAACACAGTCCAATATAAACAATCATTCTTCCCACGCACAATCATCGCTTGGAACCACCTGGAAAATGTTGCCGTGGGCTCGACATCAATCGAGAGTTTCAAGGCTGCCCTAGGCATCCGCTAGGAGCCGTTAGGATAGCCGCATCACTTCCCCAAACGTTGCACATCTGCCAGTACATGGATGCAGCAACGTACCGAACCAGAGCAAGAAGCTTTCCTCTTGAGATATTAAGCCAACAATACTGGTATCATCATCAAATTTAATGATTGAAACCGTGTTGCTTGGGCTCTGGATATCTTTGGCATATGTTGTATACGGGCCAAGGGAGAGCATGCAAACTTGTGGTTTTATTTATTAACAGCCCCGGTTTTATTTCTCCAGTTAATGGTATGTGGGCATTCACCTTGACGTATTGCAGATGTTTTATTAAAAAGTTCAGAATCCTACTTTTTTTAATAACTGTTTATTTAATGGTAAGCTCACAACATTTTTTAGCTATAATAATGACAGAGGACTTGGTTTGCTTCGTGATACATAGATTGTATTCTACCAGAGCGAGCAGTGTTTAAATAATACATGGTTTACTCTTGCAATAGGTACGGTACTGGTCAACTTTATCCTTGCCGGAAAATTTCCCGCATCTCTTAACAAGCGGTCGAATAAGAGATGTCTTTGAGATCTACCGTAGCTTATTGTTATCTCATGCAAGAACGTATCACATGTACACAGATGAATTCAAAGCCTCACAGAATGGTAAGGATATATGCTTGCTGAGGACTACTTTATTTAAGTTGTGATATATTATATATAGTCGTAATATTTTACAAGACAATGCATAAAGCAGTATCAGTTTCATAATACATTCTCTAAAGTAATTTTGAAAATGTCTATATGACCAGGCAGCATTGGTATCTCACTGGCACCTATACTAGGTGTGCCCAAGGACCCTAGAGATCCCAGCCATGCAACATCAGCTGAACGGCTGACCGAATACAGTCTGGGGCTTTTTGCTGACCCCATCTTTGGGGACGGGGATTTCTCCGATGAGGTGAAAAAAGTTGCAGGCTCAAATTTAGGTCACTGGTCGACAACTGAAAAGGCTCTTCTCAAAGGTTAGTCACATCAATGTAATTCCTCTTAACAGAAACGATTCTTATTGCTAAGACAATATTTATGCAGGCTATTTTTAAAAATAAATAAAATAGTTCAACAAGTAACAAATACAGTTGTTTTTTTTTAATTCCATGAAACTTTAAAAAAATTCAATCACTTTTCAAAGCTGTAAAATCTTAAACACTGCAGTTTGTTTTAAGTGGCAACTATTTACAGAATATTTCAACTTCTAAGATATTTTTTTTAATTAAATAATGGCGGAATGGGCTTTCAATCTTATAAAAAAAAATAATAAAATGAAAAGATTTGTGTAGCTCTTAGTGTTTACTACTTGTCTGTAATGTAGAACCTGCCAATGCTTAATATATTTACAGTTTTCTTTTCTTCGTGCATATTACTTTTTTTTTCTTTTTTTTCTGCTGTCTTGGTCAACTGATGGACAATTTAAATTTTTTTTAGAAAGGCTTTAAAAAAAAAAGAAGTAAAAAAACAAACAAACCAAAAATTAGACAAACATCTGAAAGCCATGTAATTTTATTGTAAAATAGTCAAAAGGTATTTTTTTTCGTATCTTGTAGGGAGTGCCGATTTCTTTGGTCTTGACTACTACGTGACCAAAGAAGTTGGCAGAGATGTGAATGTATCAGCAGAGGGCGTGTTGTCATTCAAAGACTACCCGACCGTGGGCCAAACGAAGCCCGAAGGGCTGCGATCACTGCTGGGTCTCATCCGCAGGCGTTACAACAACATCCCGGTCGTGATCACTGGAAATGGTCTTTGGAGAGCAGATGAGACGCTCGGCGACGCGTCCAGAGGACAGTTCATAGTCCAGCATGTGGACGAGGTTCTCAAAGGTAAGTTTTTTGCATTTCTAATAATGAGAGGGTTGGACTGCGATAAAGCTTTTGAGTAGATTATTGAGAGACAATTTGTGTAAATAAAACAATATAGGTTAAGTTTTAATTACGCTTAGTTAAAATGTAATTTGAAAAGTGTCATCAAGATGCATCAGTGCAACAAAAAACGTGCATACAAGTTTAATTTAAATTTACATAATACAGGTATGACCTACTTTTACTGATAACCAAAGAAATGAAAGAAAAGAATAAGAATTGGCGCAAGCCCCTAGTGAAAAGATATGATCAGGAGAACAGTTATAAAGTGGGTGAAAGTAAAATCTAAAAGCCAAATAGGAAAGTACATTGCAGCTATGTAAATGTGCGAATTTGGTTTATACCGCATGGTGCCAACGTACCAAATCGTGTTATTAATTTATTTTCATACAAATTCTATCCGGTGTATTACTTCAAAAATACAATATCCCAGTCATTGCAACATCCAAGTCATTGCAACATCCAAAATTTGATTATGGTTAGCAATATTGAAAAGTTTGGAAAGGAGACAAAGAGCTTTTTCATTAATGTTGTACATATGGTGTCTAAAAGGGTCTCTAGGCAATGACCTTTCTCCCCGAAGCATGATTTTCCGTACCTTTCACAAAGGATGGTGTTAATTAGGTTTTCGACTTGTGCTAGTAGAACCGTCTTTGCTTCTGAACATTTCCAGAGGGAAAGTGATCGTAGCAACGTCAATCACACAGGGACATGTGTTATTTATTATCAGACCACAGACAGCCACAGACAGTCACAGACAGCCACAGACCACAGACAGCCACATACAGCCGCAGATCACAGAGAGCCACAGACCACAGACAGTCACAGACAGCCACAGACAACAGACAGCCACGGACAGCCACAGACCACAGACAACCACAGACAGCCACAGACAGTCACAGACCACACACAGTCACAGACCAGACAGTCATATACAGTCACAGACCACAGACAGTCACAGACCACAGACAGCCACCGAGCACAGACAGTCACAGACCACAGTCAGTCACAGACCACAGACAGTCATAGACAACAGACAGCCACAGACCACAGACAGTCACAGACCACAGACAGCCACAGACCACAGACAGCCACAGACAGCTTCAGACAGTCACAGACCACACAGTCATAGACCACAGACAGTCACAGACCGCTGACAGTCACAGACCACAGACAGTCACATACCACAGACAGCCACAGACCACAAACATTCACAGACCAGACAGCCACAGACCAGACAGCCACAGACCAGACAGCCACAGACCACAGACAACCACAGACAGCCACAGACCGTCACAGACTACAGACAGTCACAGACCACAGACCGTCACAGACCACAGACAGTCACAGACCGAAGACAGTCACAGACCACAGACAGTCACAGACCGCAGACAGCCACAGACAGCCACAGACCGCAGACAGCCACAGACCGCAGACAGTCACAGACCGCAGACAGTCACAGACCGCAGACAGTCACAGACCGCAGACAGTCACAGACCGCAGACAGCCAGTGTCGTATGCTATAATAGCATGGAGGGACGTTGCTTCTAAAAAGCATGTCCCTTCAAGGCTCTTGTTTTCTGATGTTAGACGATGGGCTTTTAGAGCACTTGGGTTACAGCATGTGGGGATTTTAATAGCCATGAAATAGTTTGATAAACCACAGTACACGGTTTCATTTTTTAATAAACCTTTGCCATTAAGTATATCAAATATGTCCTTTGGTTGTTAAGAGAGGGCTGTAAAGTGCCCATAAGAGCACATAATATAATTAATAACATTATTATCATTTTTTGAAAAAATATATATATTTGCTAATGATTAAAATATTGAAACTATGTTGCTTACAAGAAGCAGACATCTAAAGGAATTTTTGCGTTGGTTATTTTTTGGTTAACTTGTAATTATTTAGTTTATGTCATCCAACCATATCAAGTGTCATCCAAACCATATCATGTGTCATCCAAACCATATCATGTGTCATCCAAACCATATCATGTGTCATCCAAACCATATCATATGTAGCCAAACCAAAAATATGTCATCCAAACCATATGATATGTCATCCAAACCCTATCACATATCATCCAAACCATATCATATGTAGCCAAAACAAAAATATGTCATCCAAACCATATGATATGTCATCCAAACCCTATCACATTTCATCCAAACAATATCATATGTAGCCAAACCAAAAATATGTCATCCAAACCATATGATATGTCATCCAAACCCTATCACATATCATCCAAACAATATCATATGTCATCCAAACCCTATCACACATCATCCAAACCATATCATATGTCATCCAAACCCTATCACATATCATCCAAACCATATCATATGTCATCCAAAACCTATCACATATCATCCAAACCCTATCACATATCATCCAAACCCTATCACATATCATCCAAACCATATCATATGTCATCCAAACCCTATCACATATCATCCAAACCCTATCACATATCATCCAAACCCTATCACATATCATTCAAACCCTATCACATATCATCCAAACCATATCACATATCATCCAAACCCTATCACATATCTTCCAAACCCTATCACATATCATCCAAACCATATCACATATCATCCAAACCCTATCACATATCATCCAAACCATATCACATATCATCCAAACCATATCATATGTCATCCAAAACCTATCACATATCATCCAAACCCTATCACATATCATCCAAACCCTATCACATATCATCCAAACCATATCATATGTCATCCAAACCCTATCACATATCATCCAAACCCTATCACATATCATCCAAACCCTATCACATATCATCCAAACCCTATCACATATCATCCAAACCATATCACATATCATCCAAACCCTATCACATATCATCCAAACCCTATCACATATCATCCAAACCATATCACATATCATCCAAACCATATCACATATCATCCAAACCCTATCACATATCATCCAAACCCTATCACATATCATCCAAACCATATCACATATCATCCAAACCATATCACATATCATCCAAACCCTATCACATATCATCCAAACCCTATCACATATCATCCAAACCCTATCACATATCATCCAAACCCTATCACATATCATCCAAACCATATCATATGCATCTATCGTTTTCATATTAAATGATTTTATCTCTCGAAGCTGTTCGCCTTGATGGCAGTGACGTACGAGCATACACGTATCGCTCTCTGACTGACAGCTTCGAGTGGACGTTGGGCACCTCCCCAAAATTTGGACTGTTCGGGGTTGATTTCGGTGATCCCTCCAGAACTCGAACACGGCGGGTCTCAGCGGATACATTTTCTAAAATTGCTGAGAACAATGGAATCTTGAAAGACGATTTCTAAGCAAAGCACTTTTCTTGGAATTTTTTTTTTTAAGTCACTTTGTAAATTTATGTACAAAAATAATTGAACTTAATTTACTTCAAACTCAATCATATTTTTTTTATTTTAGACTAAAGATAAGATATAATTTAGTTTTGAACTAGGTTTTCCTAAATTTTTTTGCAATGAATAAAGATTATCAAAATTATTGCAGTGATGCAATTTTACCCTAACTCTGACATTTCCAATGTTAACATAACTCTGACATTTCCAATGTTAACATAACTCTGACATTTCCAATGTTAACATAACACTATATTTCCAATGTTAACATAATTCTACATTTCCAATGTTAACATAATTCTACATTTCCAATGGTAACATAACACTATATTTCCAATGTTAACATAATTCTACATTTCCAATGTTAACATAATTCTACATTTCCAATGTTAACATAACTCTGAAATTTCCAATGTTAACATAATTCTACATTTCCAATGTTAACATAACTCTGACATTTCCAATGTTAACATAATTCTACATTTCCAATGTTAACATAACACTACATTTCCAATATTAACATAACTCTACATTTCCAATGTTAACATAACACTATATTTCCAATGCTAACATAACTCTACATTTCCAATGTTAACATAACTCTACATTTCCAAAGTTAACATAACTCTACATTTTCAATGTTAACATAATTCTTTATTTCCAATGTTAACATAATTCTACATTCCAATGTTATTTCCAATGTTAACATAACTCTACATTTACAATGTTAACATAACTCTACATTTCCAATGTGAACATTACTCTACATTCCTATGAAAACTTGTTATGTTAGTAAGTTTAATTTTTGTATTTTTTGTTTGTTTGTTACACTTTAATGTTTTCATGTCAATAAAAATTATATAATCAACAGACAGAAAATTTATCACACTTCCGTTTTCTTGTCTTCACATTGGCTCCCTGTCAAGTGTAAAGGACTAGTTAAGTTTTCCATTTGGTATTGAGAGTCAGTCACAAAACTTTTCAACTTACAGCAATACGCTGCTTGATTTCACTTGATTGTTTCCTTTCCCAAGTTTACTGTCTTGGATGTCATACCATAGCAACCGTCTCCATCGCCACCATGTTTCCTCACACCCCTTTCAGTCAAACCCCCACACCGCCCCGCGACCCCTCAAACAACCCACATGGCCAACCCGACCTAAACAATCGGCTCCCTTTTTTCCCTTTCATATTCCACAAACCCCTAATCAAATTCCACTTTATTTTTCGCCCCCTTTTCGCCCTCCCCCTTTTTTCGCCTCACCCTCACATATCATATCCCCGTGGCTATCTTCCCAAACACGTTGCCTTCTTACCGCTACACCCTCACATATCATATCCCCGTGGCTATCTTCCCAAACACGTTGCCTTCTTACCGCTACACCCTCACATATCATGTCCCCGTGGCTATCTTCCCAAACACATTGCCTTCTTACCGCTACACCCTCACATATCATATCCCCGTGGCTATCTTCCCAAACACGTTGCCTTCTTACCGCTACACCCTCACATATCATGTCCCCGTGGCTATCTTCCCAAACACGTTGCCTTCTTACCGCTACACCCTCACATATCATGTCCCCGTGGCTATCTTCCCAAACACGTTGCCTTCTTACCGCTACACCCTCACATATCATATCCCCGTGGCTATCTTCCCAAACACGTTGCCTTCTTACCGCTACACCCTCACATATCATATCCCCGTGGCTATCTTCCCAAACACATTGCCTTCTTACCGCTACACCCTCACATATCATATCCCCGTGGCTATCTTCCCAAACACGTTGCCTTCTTACCGCTACACCCTCACATATCATGTCCCGGTGGCTATCTTCCCAAACACATTGCCTTCTTACCGCTACACCCTCACATATCATATCCCCGTGGCTATCTTCCCAAAAACATTGCCTTCTTACCGCTACCCCCTCACATATGTCCCCGTGGCTATCTTCCCAAAAACGTTGCCTTCTTACCGCTACCCCCTCACATATCATGTCCCGGTGGCTATCTTCCCAAACACATTGCCTTCTTACCGCTACACCCTCACATATCATATCCCCGTGGCTATCTTCCCAAACACATTGCCTTCTTACCGCTACACCCTCACATATCATATCCCCGTGGCTATC